GTGGAGCCACTCTGATTGTGGCTTCAGCAGGCGGAACAGCCTTGTCTGCAGCAGTCAAGCAGAACCTCTGCAATCCCCCCAGCCCATGGAACCTGGCAGTGAGGACACACCAACTCAGCACTTACCAGCTGCTGTCCTTTATACAGTTTCTATCTCGGGTACCTGGCATTACGTTTTATGGCACACATGGCCAGTCGGACAAAGTGACATTTATGTCAGATCCGGCCCTCACAACAAATGAGTTTGACACCTCTGGTCTAGAAGAATAAGCAGGGTCATTTCTCCCCCTTGCTGTAGAACGCTAGATGCCTCGAAATAAATGGGGAAGCGCTTGCAGGCAAGGGGACTTCTCATGTTCATTCGAATTCTGTGCTTGCAAATGGTTATTGGATTGCGGCGGCAGCGTTCTCAGCTCATTTCCCACCATTTTATAATAAATCAGCCAATACTGTTGGGGGAAATTCCTGATGGGAACTGGAATGTTCCTTGTAGATCACTTGTTTGCCTACTCGTAGTGACGCTTCTTAAAGCCTTGAGAAATTAAGGAACTATATTGTTTCATTTCAATTATCTACCAGCGTTAACTTCTGAACCAGGAATAGCGCAAGTGGAAACTCTCACTGTGTGGGATGGATTTTGTGTGTTTATGCAAGATTATGCATGTGGTTGATCTCGGAGGATGTTGGAAGGAACGCCCGGGCCATTTTATTGGCAAGATTAGCTGTCAAATATAGCTCTGGTCTAGTCAGTCATCTCTCACACAAGAATTCCAGGGAGGGAAGAAATCCACATTGTCCGATGCAACTATATCCTCCCCCTTCCCCAGTAAACAAACACAAAGCCGATGACCTAAAATGCATTTTCTACTTTGTTTTACAATATTCTCTCTGCATCCAAGTCTGGTTAAGGGTTACAGATGGTACAACAGTAGGGTTCTAAATTTGGGGGATCCTTCCTGCATTGATCCGGAGGCCAAGAAGATCTCACATGTTGCAGATGATTCTGGGGAATGTTTGAGAGCCTGCTGTAACTTCACACGGGGTTGGTGGGGGAGACCTCTTCTTCTGCCAGCTACTCTGCGTTAACTAAGGATATGGTTTTGCGCATGCGTTCCTCTGTTCTGAACGTCATTGGGGGAAATTGGTGACACATTTGTATGAAAAGGGATGCCTACCTTGGCTGACGTTTTATTGAGGAACCTTTAATAATTCGCCAGAACACAATTTGAAAACCAGGGATGAAGGTCCTTAAGTTAATTATGTTTGCCTCCAGGAGGGACCTGGGGATCCCCTGGAATTACAGCTCATCTCCAGGCTACAGAGATCAGTTTCCCTGGAGAAAAGGGATGCTTTGGAGGGTGGACTCTATGGCCTTGTGCTCCACTGAGGTCACTGTCCTCCCCAGGCTCCACCCCTAAATCTCCAGGAGTTTCCCATCCTGGAGTTGGCAACCCTACCTCCGACTCCCCACCAGTGGCTGGGGTGGGGGACTTGGCAGCCCTACCCTAAGTACGTGTATACTGCCCTGGGCCCTGTTAAACTAGAACTGTACTGAGAGTTCCATGTTAAAGCATTCCCAGACATGTGGGAGCCTGATTCAGGTTGGCACTACAGTGGGCAGGGAGAAGCGGACTAAGCCTTTGAGAGTCAGTTTGGTGTAGTGGTTAAGTGCGCGGACTCTAACCTGGGAGAACCGGGTTTGATTCCCCACGCCTCCACTCGCAGCCGCTGGATGACCTTGGGCAAGCCATCGTTCTGTCAGAGCTGTTCTTGAAAAAGAGCAGTTCTCAGTCAGAGCTCTCTCAGCCCCACCTACCTCACAGGGGTGCCTGTTGTGGGGAGGGGAAGGGAAAGGAGTTTGTAAGCCGCTCTGAGACGCCCTTGGGTAGTGAAGGGCGGGGTATAAATCCAGTCTCCTCCTCTTCTCTTGTTTGCTGTGCCATTTTCCTGAAGTGGCCTTGCCCAGTTGGGAAAACTTACAAGCTGGTGTATGTCCTCAAGCATTCCCCAACTAACTTACGCTGGTGGGCTACTCATGTTATGCTTCCACAGCAGGGCAAATATCAGCTCCCTGGGAATGGGGAGCTGATATTTCAGATAGGGAAAGCAGGGCGAAGGGAAGCTTCAACGCCCCTCTCCTTGCCTGCTGCAGTCTAGATAGGAATGGGGCCTCCACAGACCCAAGAATTAAATCTCAACACAGAACTCTGGGCACACATCTGATTTAACAGGATCTAGAAATAGCATAACGTACAGTTAGGCTCAGAGAGGGAACCTTCCCCTCTAAAAGGCATTACTTTGTAATTCACATCTGTTGTTGAGTGACAAATCATATGTGCTCTTTTAGCAAGGGAGGGGGCTTCCATTCCTTGTTGTCGTCCACCCCCCCATAAATGGTAGCCGATACAATGATGTGGCCGATGGAAACCTTCCATTCTAATCGGATGAACGTCTGTTGTTGTCCACAGGCCTCACCATCTCTCAGTCTGATTTATCACGCAGGATTGTTATCGGAGAACTCCAGGTTGAGTCCCTTTGCAGGACTAAGGTCCTCCATGCTTTACTGTCCGTGCTTGGCAGGGCTGAATCACTGACGTTTTTCTTCTTCTTTTGTTTTTGCAGGTAGCTGTATCCAGTTGGGTGGCAGGCAGACCCAAGGGGTACCATGAAGTTTTCAGGACCCCTGGAGAGCCAGAGGTTGTCTCTCCTCCTGGAGATGGCAATCTCTAGGGAAGCTCAGATGTGGAAAGTTCATGTGCCCAAAATTCAGCCCAATCAGGTAACGTTTCTTCATTCTTCCTCCCCTCCGTTGAAGCCATGTGCCTTTTCGTACTCACAGGGACCAGGCCTGATGGATTGTACTTCTTTGCTTAGCAAATAGCTAAAACCCATTCAGTACAAATCCCAGCAATTTATGTCAAGGTGGGACCTAGCCTTTTAATTCACCAGAATGAATAATGCTTTGTTTGTGGAATGTTTGTTCCAGAGCCTAAGGGCACAGACTGTGCTGTTCTGCCTATAATGGTAAATCACTGATATTAGAAGCACGCAGGTTGCTACAGTTTAATTCAGATCTGCTCTGCCACTCTTGTGTTGCTAAAATTGATATTTTGATGGGTGGTAGCTGCCATGCCGTCCTCTTTGGAAACGTCTTAGACTAATTCATATACTTGAGGTCTAAGGGCATGATCCATCACAAAGTTTTCTTGCGCAAATCCCATTGGAATGAATGGGAGCATCCTAGATTGTGCCTTAATTTCCTGTACGGGCACATCTTGACCTCATTGTGTATCGGCTTGTCACTTATGATTAAGGTACAGTCGCAATTAGAGTTTATAAGCTTGTGGAATGTTTAAAGTGCATTTATACCTAGTAACCAAAAAAACAAAAAATTACCAGAGTTTTGGGAGGTGATTAATGTCATGGAGCAGGGGTGGCCAAACTTGCTCAGCGTAAGAGCCACATAGAATAAACGTCAGATGTTTGAGAACCACAAGACATGAATATTTCACACATGTTTTTATTGAGAAAATATGCAAATTTGCCTTTTATTAACATTAAATGAGACTGCCAACAATAAAAACAAAGGGGTTAAAAACAGATATTGATAATGATATTTATTTGTCCAAAGATATTTGTTTGTTTGCTAATGATATTTATTTGTCTGAGAGAGAGAGAAAGAGAGAGAGGTGGAAAGAATGAAAGAGGTGGAAAGAAATAGAGAGAAACAAAGAAAGCAAATAGATGGATGGGAGGGAGGGAGGGAGGAAAAGGATGCCTCCCCTTCGCTTCCCCAGCTGCCCTGCCGGGAGCCACACAATATGTGTGAAAGAGCCGCATGTGGTTCCCGAGCCACAGTTTGGCCACCCCTGTCCTAGAGACAGGAACCTGTGAAACTCACAAGAGAGAAGAAATCACATCTACTCGCCCTTGGGCTCCCTAGCCACTTCTGTTCTCTTTCCCCACCCCTCTGTGGCTCCTTTCTCTTGTTATTTCTGGGCCTCTCCATCACTACTTTCTCTTCCTTCTCTGTGTCACGGTTCCTAGGCAGGCCTGGCATCAGAGGGCGGCAAGGTGAGGGGTCTGCTGAGGCCCACAACTTGGGGGGGGGCCCTGCTGCCACCAACCCCCCCATGTTGTGGGCCAGTCTCGACTCCACACTCTGTAACGGGAGGGAGTGATGAACGATGGGGTGACGCATGAAATCTCTTGCTCTGCTGCCTCCTCTCCTGTAGGGATGTGGGAGGCCATGCCCCACATAGAGTTTTGGGAGACCCACTGTAGGGGTTTGGAAGCCTGGGACAGTCTCTACCCCAAGGCCCATGAAAAGCTGGATCCAACTGTGTTAGTTGCCATCCATAATCTTGCAAGGTTTCCCGAGATCTCAGTTGACGTACTCTGTTGGGGGGGGGGCATTTCAACTCCCCCCCCCTTTTGTTTGATTTGGGAATTTTCTCCAGACCTGGAGGTTCCCCTGTGTTTGCTGAAACATCTCCCCTCTCTGTCCCTGGTGGCCAGGGCCTGGCCCCACTGTGCAGGTTCATACACCAGCTCTCACACTGTGAAATAATGCCGTTTCGCTCCACTTCGGTGACGGTTTGCTAGTGGATTTTGCCATTTCACGCAGTAAAATCCAGTCGCAAAGAGCATTGAAGGCCCTGACCTGGGTAGCCCAGGCAAGTCTGACCTTGTCAGATCTCGCAGCGCCGACCCTGGCAAGTATTTGGATGGGAGACCTCCAAGGAATACCAGGGCTGGGAGGCAGAGGCAGGCTATCAAGCCGCTTCTCTGAATGTCCTCCATGCCCCGGTAGGAGTCACCAGAGGTCGCCATGACTTCCAGGCACGGGCACACACACACTCAGAGAGCCAATTTGGTGTAGCAGTTAAGTGTGCGGACTCTAATCTGGGAGAACCGGGTTTGGTTCCCCACTCCTCCACTTGCACCTGGCTGGATGACCTTGGGCAAGCCGTAGTTCTGTCAGAGCTGTTCTTGAAAAAGAGCAGTTTCTGCCAGAGCTCTCTCAGCCCCACCCACCTCACAGGGTGTCTGTTGTGGGGAGGGGAAGGGAGTGGAGTTTGTAAGCCGCTCTGAGACTCCCTTGGGTAGTGAAGGGCGGGGTATAAATCTAATCTCTCCTCTCCTCTCCTCTCCACTCCTCTCCTCTCCTCTCCTCTTCTTCTTCTCACACACGCACACAAATGCAAAAATATCCCCAAAAAGGCAGGAAAGGAAAAAGAAAGTGGATTGAAAGCGCGTTATCTGATGTGTGTGAAAGCACCCCATTGTGTTCGTTAACCCCCAAGCCCTTAAAAGAAACCAAGGGCTCCTCGCATGAATAGATGAAGCTGCCTTATACTGAATCAGCCCACTGGTCTATCAGGTTCAATCCTGTCCACTCAGACCCACAGCACTTCTCCAGGGTCTCATGGGGAGTCTTTCACACCACCTACTACTTGACCCTTCTAACTAGAGATGCCAGGGATTGAACCGGGGACCTTTTTGCGTGCCAAGCAGATGCTCCGCGACCAGCCGTGGCCAATGTTCCCTCTAAGCTGTGGAGTCTTGTGAGCAAAAATTCTACTTTGTGAGCTACTGGCATTAAAGTTGTGAGCCAGTGATTTGGCTACTGCATAAATGAGTTTGCTCTGGAGCCCTCCTTCCTGAGCCATGACAAAAATGTGTGAGCCAGAGGCTAAAAAACTGTGAGCTAGCTCACACTAACTCAGCTTAGAGGGAACACTGGTCGTGGCCCTAACCGCTGTTCCTCTACCACCTGTCCCAACTGCTGTGAAAACTGCTTCCCTTATTACGGCCTCATAGTTCTTTGAAAAAGAAGCACGAACGCCTGGTGTGTCGCGGCTCTTCCTCTAAAGCTTTAATGGTTGCCAGTTTTCTTTTTAGAAAAAAAGTTGGATCAAACTGGGCTCGCCCTCCCCAGCGCACAAAGCAGTCTCTTCTAGAGATGGCTCACTGCCTCCCGCTGCGGTGGGCAGGTTCAGATTTGTGCGTAAGGTTGTTTGATTTGGTGCCTGGTGCCAGCCCTAAAAAAACGTGGGCGTGAATCTCCTTGGCTTCCGTGGAGGCTCTGTGCAGAGGGTGCTTTAAAACCATGGAAACGGCCTCCCCGGCAACTCCAGAGAAGCCATACGGGGTTTTTGCTAGCTAGCGTTCTCAGCATAACGTTAGCATTGGAGCCGGGTTGTTTTCTTAGTTCCATTGAACCACTGAGTCCGTTATTAACAGGTGGCGGAGGAATTTATTTTGCTTGGGAAGGAGTTTTCTCCTGAAGTCAGAGAGGCAGTGACTTTGGGCTGGTAGGGTAAGGTGGAGAGCTTTGATTTGCACAGGAATAAACAGCTTTAAAAGGGGATTAGATGGATTCATGGAGGGTAGGCCTTTCAGTGGCTACTAGCCATGGTGGCTGAGGGGAACCTCCACATTCAGAGGCACTCATCCTCTGAATCCCAGAGCCAGGAGGCAACATCAGGGAACGCCTCGGCCTCTGTGTCATTGTGAGAGCCAGTTTGGTGTAGTGGTTAAGTGTGCAGACTCTAATCTGGGAGAACCGGGTTTGATTCCCCACTCCTCCACTTGCACCTGGCTGGATGACCTTGGGCAAGCCATAGTTCTGGCACAGCTGTTCTTGAAAAAGAGCAGTTTCTGTCAGAGCTCTCTCAGCCCCACCTACCTCACAGGGTGTCTGTTGTGGGGAGGGGAAGGGAAAGGAGTTTGTGACCTTGGGTCATTCACAAGCTCTGGCACAGCTGTTCCTGAAAGAGCAGTTTGTGTCAGAGTTCTCTCAGCCCCACCCACCTCACAGGGTGTCTGTTGTGGGGAGGGGAAGGGAAAGGAGTTTGTAAGCTGCTCTGAGACACCTTTGGGTAGTGAAGGGCGGGGTATAAATCCAATCTCTTCTTCTTCTTCTTTGTTGGCTGTCCAGAGGAACTGGTTGGCCACTGTGTGAGACAGGATGCTGGATTAGATGGACCATTGAAGAAGAGAAGAGATTGGATTTATACCCCGCCCTTCACTACCCAAAGGAGTCTCAGAGCAGCTTACAAACTCCTTTCCCTCCCCCTCCCCACAACAGACACCCTGTGAGGTCTGATCCAGCAAGACTCTTCTAATGTTCTTATTACCCAGTTTCAAGTTGGGTAGCCATGCGGATCTACGGTAGAAGAGCAAGTATTTCAGTGCATTAGCACCTTTAGGACTAACAAGTTTTCCAGGATATAAGCTTTCAAGAGGTTGGCCACTGTGTGAGACAGGATGCTGGACTCGCTGGACCCCTGGTCTGACCCAGCAGGGCTCTTCTGATGTTCTTAAGAGTCAGAGCTCCCTTCTTCAGAACTAATGAAGGAGGAGGTTTGACTCTCGAAAGTGCATATGCCAGAAATCTTGTTGGGCTTCAAGGCCCTACTGGACTGGAATCTTGGTCTTCATTTGATCAGAGCTCTTCCTGCACGATGCAGGGTGCTTTGCTGTGCTGTGACTTCATTGGCAGAGCAGCTGCTTGGCATGCAGAAGGTCCCAGGTTTAATCCCTGCAATCTTCAGTGAAAGGTTCTCGGGTAGCAGGTGCTGAGAAGGTTCCTCTCTGCCTGAGACGGTGGCAGTCAGACTAGGATGATGATGATGATGATGATGATGATGATGATGATGATGATGATGATGATGATGATGATGATGATGATGATGATGATGATGATAGTATGGCAGTGTGTGTCATATAGCCAGGAGATCCTAAGATGCATCTTAGGCACCCAGAAGTTCTAGC